CATCCTCTACCGTATTTGCTGTGCTTGCACTGCACACAAGAGAGTCTAGCACATGGGTATTGCTGAAACTATCCACAGAACTCGAAAAACCATTCGTCGTTGCCCATCGTGCTCTTCAGTCCTGATTCTGACATCGAAAAACGGCTATTGGACTACGACGGAGAAACGCATTTTCCCTACACTCCGCATCGTCTTCTAACGCGTTCCTTTAAATTGGCGCGCGGTTCGCTTTCTAAAAAATCCTCGATTTCCTTGAGAACACGTAAGTAGTTACACACGGATAAAAACGCGAAAAAGTAAGTGGACAGGCAGATAACATTCAGCCAATACGAAACACGTCAGACACTCAAACCACCGAAGCCAGAACCTACGCTTCAGCCAAAACCTTACTTTATGCTTTTATGAGCCCCACTGACCGCCTGTCGCCCACAGTGTGGCAGTAAATTGAAGACTCGACGGAGCTTACCACCTTGCGCACACCTAACGTCCGCGCCGCCGGCTTTTCTGAACTGACAGTGTGCCAGCCTTGTTAGTCAACACAAGACGCTCGTTGAGTAGAAGCAGTCATGACGTTGACAGGATCTCTGGAGTCACTACATCACGTGCGTATCACAGCCAGGGAGCGTGTGGGCATTCTTTTGACACCGTACCCAAAATGTGCCAGCATAATACAAGCACTTGCTATGTGGATTTGTTTTTCACCTTTGCGCACAAAATCACAATCTTCCTTTATTGATTGTATGGCAAGAGTACTGTTTCAGTGCATCCGTTAAAAGGGGAAGGTTAAAAGTGACCTTAGAAAGTAGACTGCAGTTAGACGCCGTTGTTAGATGCAATATACGGGCCGTAACTGTTCTAATTGGTTTCTGATCTATCACTCTATATACTACTTTTTAGTAGCGAGTTGTCATATCCCTGCCTGTGTGGGTTCGACTTCTGAACGCACAAAATCAGAATATTCAGCGTTATTTTACCGTATAAATCCTACGGTGATTTTTTCCATTCTATGTATGATTTTCAGGGGTTTGCTCACTTTCGAATGGCGCATAGGTACATTTCTTGTTTGTTATGATCTCCGGCACGCTTCAAATTGGGAACGTTTGTTGTGGCCTCCGGAGCCTGTCCTGTACGCACCCAGCAATCGCTGGATGTTGGAGGAAACCTGTCCTGCGTTTTTGTGTTAACACCCTTTGCATGAACCGGCGTTTACCGTTTACATTCACAAATTCGTTGCCGGGGTTAAAAGACATGGATTACTTGTAGTCTTTAGGCTAGGTTTGGCATGTGGTCGTCCTGGCATCCGTGTTGATACTACCATCGGGCTTTTTGATCGTTTGGAATTTTACTCCGTGTCTTTATGGAGCTACTACACCAGTATTTGTTACACCAGGCAATGCCATTCGTTTGTGCATCCGCGCACCGAGAGGTCGTCCCGGCCCTCTCCACACCTGCATTTATATTCCACACATGGTCCGAAAGTGTTGTGTTTGGGAGAACATGGCCTCATGAACAGTGCAGTTTTTCTCCTCGTGTCTTGTGACCGACTGCGCGCAAGGAGACCTCCTTTAGATGTTTGTATAACCGTGCAGACACCTGTCTTCCGAGACGATTCCAATTGGAAGGGTTAGCCAAGACGTTCATCGGTGACGCTGGTGAGAATGATGATTATTTTTACACAACCTTCGGGCCGGATGGGATGAGACTAGTTATCAGGTTGAGATTTGGGGTGTACGTCAAGACGCTGATCATAAACTTACGGGCATGGCTGCACACTACAGTCGGCACTGATTCCATCTGAGCTCTTTTTTCATTACTTCAAACCATTTTGTGCAACATGACAGTTACCCCTGATGTCATTGTTATGCACCCCAATTTTACTCGTCGAATCGCAGTCATTGATTTGGCTTGGTTTGTCATTAGTCTGAACCGCCTCATTCATAATCAAAAAAGAGTCCGGGAAAACTGGGCTGCACGTGGGAGATGGGTTTCAAAGCACACATTCTACACAGATAAGTGAACTGAGCCCTTTCAGAACAAGCATCTAAGCGACCTTCGTAGATGGCATGCTTTCGTCATTTGAAGCATCTGAAGGCTCGATCTGTGCTCTTTACAGACTTCAAGAGCATATGGGCGAAAATATCCTTTGGGAAGACGATGCATCTGAATGTATTTCTTCCGCGGACACCATGCCAAGGCAGTTTTGCAGAAGAGTCGGTTCACAGTGTTAGCGTAGGGGGTATCTTCGATGTTCTGAGGACCATACTATCCAAAGCCACTTTCAAATACTAGTTTTACCCACATTTCTGAGAGTTTATTTCGAATTGCATAACCTTTGCTCACTGGTCCACATTTAACCGCTGGTATTTTTCCGCAAACAGCCTTACATACGAAATGGTAACCGCAGTGAGAACCAATGCCTTGACAACTTAAGGATTTCAGATTCGACTTCTTTGGGGCCGCAGACAAAACCGTAGAAAAAGAGCCTGTTGAGAAGTCTGATGGCTCTGAGTCCTGCCCTCCAAAGTTCCTTACCCTCTCCGATGGTTGTTTGCTTCTCACTCACTAATCCCTTTAGCCTGGCTACCTGCTTTGGCTCTTCCGCGCCGAAAATGTTTTTTACCAAGCGGTAAAGGTGAGCCCTCGTTTTATGATGCGATCGTCATACAGATTGCTCTGTATCAGCTTTAAATTGTGTAACCCGTTAGACATATACATTCACTTTCTTCATGACGTTTATTTGAAATATGCTTGAAAAAGGGGGCACATGTTGAACTCCTCCAGGTCTTTATGTGTGTCGATTCGTGTGGGCGCCCACTGTCAGATTCCTATGGGATGTATCCAACGGTCTCGTACCACTTTTATCTTCGATGAGTTTACCCGCTGACGTTGCTGTCGACTGCCCGGCACATGTACGGGTGGCGGATGCCAGACTTTTAGTGGATGGTAGCTTCAAAACAAATTAACTATTGCTTCTGGTGACTAATAGGCTGCAGACCAGTGGCGACGGCACCACGGACGGTACCGAGGGCCGAGGTGTGTGCCATCCACCCGATGGAGACACTATGGCATGGCAACCGTAAACTGCCATCAAATAGGTTCTCTCACTACCGCTTGCTAGCGGCTAAGTTCTTGAGCCAGGGCACTAGAAGAGACAACTTCATACTAGCAGCACAGGTGATTGCACCGAAAATTTCCAGGACACTGCACGAAAATTGCAGCCGGCCTATCCACTAGTCAACAAAAAGGTCCCGCCCCTGTTAACGTGACAGGTCATCAGCATTGTCCTTAAACATAGTCAACTTCGTCCGCAAAGTCATCTAAGGATCAAACTTGATCCTACATCCACTTTGTGTTTTTCTCAACTTTCTAGTAATTGAATATCTGGACGAATCGGCCATCGAAGATCTGGTGAAAACCCGGAATTCTGGTGACAGTGCCACTGATGAGGCTGTCCTAACAGCTCTCCATGAAGACAAGGATGTGGTTTCTGGAGTCATAGAGGGCGGTTTCACTGTATGGGAGGGAACGAGACATTTACTCAATTTTCTGGACTCTGAAGGTGGAAAAGACCGTAACTCCCTCAAGGGAAAGCGTGTCCTGGACCTAGGCTGCGGATCTGGTCTTCTGGGAATTTACGCTCTCCATCAAGGTGCAAACCGTGTTGTCTTTCAGGTTAGTTTTCGGATGACGCGGTAGCCTCCTCACCAGACACTTTTTCACCCCAGCTATAAACCGTGTTTTTATGTGTTCCATCATGACCTCTGAATCATTTTTTACCTGGACTGGACTGCCTATTCGTTGTTTGATACGGTTGTCTGGTCAAGCTGACCCTAGTGATATCGATGTCCAACGACTGGTCGTCCATATTCATTTTCGAAGGCTTGCAAAAGCTGCGAACAGCATTAGATCGGGCGATGATATCATCCTTAGTCTGCTCGCTCGGCATTAACTTGACCACCGAATACTTGAGACTATTCACCAGCCGATTTAACGACTTCGCCCACCTGAGACACAGAATCCATATTTGGAGTCAGCACAAGAACATCATACGGCCGGTCAACCTGCGTCCATGCAACTTAAACGCCGTCGAAGCCGTGAACAACTCTTTTGAGGACCCAGTGAACGCCGTACTCATTATGGAACTTGTGGAAGACTGAACTAAATGTCAAACATTTGGGAGAGATTATGATGGACACAAAATCGTACGTTAGTCGGGCAGGTGTGGGCCTTGAATGTCGCAACGATTTTTGCCGTCAATGAAGGGAATCAGAAGCTGCATTAAATTCAAGAAGACACGGGAAATGATGTGAAAGATGACTAGTTTAGCGGCACTTTTCGTCCGAGACTGCGCTCTGCAGGTTATCACGACTTGGAAGTAGTAGGTAGTGTCACCAACCTCAGTTCTGGTGCAGAACAGACACCGTCATGACCATGGCGTACTTAAATGCGGTGAGCGACAGTGGGAAGCCAGACGGAACATGGACCCATGCAGTCGTCAAGTAGTAGTGGACCTTTGCTGACGCACTACTGTCCACCACGGGCACTCGCAATGAGAAGGATCGGAATCTGCAGTCAAGCTAACGCAGCGTACGACTGCCCGTTGCTGGTAATCATAACGGAACGCGAGAATCCACCGCAGCTCAATGACGTGGTAGGGTCGCCCACGTCCAGTCTCGAATCCCGATTGGCTGGGCCTCGTCTTTATAAAACGCAGATTTCGATACCGACTGGAAGTGGCGGTTTGAGAGCCGTCTCTAGCGTTGTTCATGGTGAGCGCTCCTCTACCATTGTAAATAAACCGGATCGCAAAGAACAAGAAAACGAGCCCGTGGGTCAGTGTTTAGGGTGTTGGACTTCTAACCAGGCTGTATATTCGAGCTCCAAGGGTTGCGGAAAAAATGGCTTCAGGAGTTGCAAACTTGGGGTTGAGCGTAGCCGGCCGATGACGGCTAACAAACTAGAAGTGAAGGAGCCACGATCGCAAAAGATAGGATCGTTATCTGCCTGACATCTCGGATTCCTGTTCGTACCCATCATCAGAGACAATAGCAGATACGGGCGGTTCATGCACAAGGGGCTGCAGTACTTACAGGACGCAGACGCCATGATACCGCATACCTATGAATGCTCCCGGCTCCCTCCCTTTGCCATGGATCGTTGCACTTGATGTGATGACTGTTTGATGGCCGACATTCGAGTCGTTAATTGGTGCAATTCTATCACGTTAGTGTGATAATTTCTTGACTGTCTGACCCACCAACCCTGGCTTTAGGAACAGTGTTTACCTGTGCGCATCCCGCGTGGCCAATTACTCTGCCTAGGCGAAATCCCTGCATCGAGTATGGAAGGGGAAGTTCGTTGCACTTGTGAGTAGACTGGGGGATCAGTGAAGCATGAATCAAGCAGCTCGCGGCTCACGCGGTTGTCACCTCTAGCAAGAATTTTGTCTTCGCCAAATTTGAATGTTTGGTCGGATCTTCTCGAATGAGCCGCAGAAGGAACCAGAAGTGGCCATACCGGTCTTCCACCTATTTGTCAATAGATCAAAGTTTTCGACCGCTGGTATCCGCGGTTAGAATTATGCAAAGCCTCTTCCCAAACCGCCTTTTATTTCTGGTATCTTATGCCGTTTACTGGGATTTACTGCGTTCGTTTCAACACCCCTCCCTTTCTCCTTCATGTTCGACTCGGACACAGGACTACAACGAACTGATATTGAGGGCCTGGACGATACCCAATGTATCGGTAGCCTGCTCCGGCGACGATCGAACAACTCGCCTGACGGAGTCTGTCTCCTTCTACTCTGGAGACTGGAACGACCTGAGCGGACTTTGGCGAGCCCTGCCGGACCTCCGCTTCGACCTCATCCTCACCGCTGAGACAATCTACCGACCGGAACTATACGCCAAACTGCACGACGTTCTCGATGTAGCGTTGGCACGCCACCCGGACTCCTCAATCATAATGGTCAATAAGTTGAACTACTACGGCATAGGCGGCAACGTTTATGATTTTGAAAAGTTCGTAGAGACGAAGGGAGTCTTCTCTCTGAACAAAAAACAGCTTACCGATTCTGGTACCGCTTATGTTTGCCTGTCAATGAAACGAATATTGAAGGATTATTCTACCCTTATTACTCGCATTGCTACAGACATCCGCACCTAACATATGCAACGCCGCAGTCCTGTCACACTCCATACTGAGGTGAATTTGACAGGACTGAGAATCATCCCAACTGTCGAGTGTCAGGTTTCACATCATCGATAAGGCGAAAATCAGAGAGAGCGCCACCGAAGACTGAACGACCAGTCCATTACCTACAAAGCATTTCTTGTTTTATATTTCTAAACAACCTTTTTAAGAGCTTTGGAATACGCATTTCTAGTTCGTCGGTAGCTTTCCTAGAACTCACTCTTTGCCACCCAAACGTAGCCGTGGTTTGTGTTGGTTTCGCCCCTTCGACGCAGTCTGAAGGCAGGTAACCCGGTTGTCAAGAAGAAAAGCCTTGGTTACTTGGCACGCCTCTATTATAAAAATACAACAGGATTGGTAAAAAAGTGCTCCGGGCTGCAAAAGTTGGGAAGGAGTTCGGTGATGTGGCGAGTCAAAGGAACGCCGACAGGGAAACACCCCGATCCTCGTCTGTTTCTACACCCATGTCCTCCTACAGTAGAAGGGATGTGTGCATAATTCTCTTCTAGACGTCGTTCTGTCACAATGAGAATTTCAAAGCTACGAGAGTCTGAACAACACGATCCCAAGCGCGTGCCCGTAGAAATGCAGCTTCACCTGCTTTCTCCTCCTTTCTAGTCATAACTATTATGGCTTTGACATTCCATAGCGGCTTAAGCTACACCACTTGGAGACTGAACAGACTAACAGCTGCTTGCGGTAATATGTCGCGTGCAGACAAGTCGCCGAGTTGAGAGAGACATTCGATGGGCAGAAGGCTTCATATAACGTAACAACACCTTACCATCATCTGTCGCCGGCTCTTTGGATAGCCCTCAGCAACCGCATCAATTATTTCCATGGCCTACAAACGGAGAGTGGAAATAGGTGCTAACCAAGCTTCGGGATAAAAGCCAAGTGGAGGGGTGGCTATAAACCGTAATCTTCATAAGGAACTGGGACTTACCATACGTTTTCGCTTCTTCCACTCAGATACTGCCGCCTGGCACCGCTTTTCAGCCTAAAAGTCAAGGAGTAAAGCACACCTAACCGGGTAAATTATGTGCGAGAAACAACCGGAACCTTAGAAAGAGCGGGCGTGGGCTGGAATTCACGGTCGTTCAGGGGTGTAGACGTGAACCAAGCAGTCAATGCTATCGGCATAGTCTTACAGTTCAACTATCGTTTTTCTGCAGTATATGACTTCTGGTCCAAAGACAAGGCCGAAACGCGATGCGGTTAAAGATCTGCTCTCCGACTTGAAACAAGACGGGCGGGGAGAGGTCGCTGCGTCTAAGTAGGAGAATTCATGAAAGTTATGGCCGTCAGTTTGAAGTGCCACTCACGCAATGCTTATACGGCCGTAGAAATGCTGTCTCGACCGCATCACTAGTGCGTATGCCCAACAAAAACCAGGAGAACCGGAGGCGCTGTCTGTGCAAACGACTAGGCTTGGGTATCAAAGACGAGTAAAAGGAAGTCGGGTAATGTATGATAACCCGAGCGTTTTTACTAAAATAAAAGGCACTTAAAGAAAGTTTGTCGCATTAAAAGTATTCCTATTAGAGTTCACATGCGCCACTAATTGTCTGCCTGGAAGTTTGACCTGTCACAAAGGAGCGGACGCCGAGGTTTATCTAGCATGAAGCCCTCTTTACGCGTGTCGCACACACTTGGTAAGAAGTAATCAACTCGGTCTCACATCTGCCACACTAAGGAGCCAGTGAAACATACGCCTATTCTGTCAGTCGGCCAGCCTCTAAGCTTCAGTTGACTGTAGTGGCTAATAAACTCGTCAGATCCACTATACTTAGCGAACGTGGCAGTGTCGCAGTGGCTGACCTATCATAGCGTCCGTCTCTCGAAACTCATGCGCGTGTTCAGATTTAGAGCGTCATCTGTTTCGAATGGTGAAATAAAGTTATATAAGCACTTAAAGTCGGTAAACGAAAACAGTAATTATTAAGTGATTCGAAAACGTGAGTAGAGATTCAAGATTTTCAGTGCACCGTCCCCGAGGTGTAGTGCATGCTGGGTGTTGAAGGACTGTGGAACTGACCTTGGTGAAGTCCTCAGGGGAAATTTGTACCTCTTGCGAATCGAGAGAGGCAATGGATTTTTTTACCGATTCAATCTGAAATGGATAATGCGATGCTGAGCAAAGGTAGAAAGGGTGATATCGTGCCCGAAGGGCGAGTAGATGAAAACAGTTCAAGAAATTAGACAAACCTCAGCCTCTATTTTCGCGTTCTCCTGCCGAGCCTCGTCGATGGAGAGGCTGGATTCGACTAGTTTGAGTTCTGTTAAGGTTAGGAGAAGGAGTGAGCACTGTATGTACCGGCTTCTGCAGATTTTATGCTCTCCTGTATTTCTTTCAAGGTGTTCGTCAGTGATTCAATTTGGCCGTCCATGGCCATCAATTCGTTGTCATCGGGTCGAGGAAGAGTAGACTGAGGTATGACAAATACCTTCTGTTTGCCGTTCAGCTTTTCATACAGGGCATCCTCATTGACCAAATCATCAACAGCCTTAGATATTGCCTGCGGGACGGGACGGATGACAGGGGATGGACAGCTTACTGCTTTTCCGTGTGTATTTTGTAGTGCAGCAACGATATCATTGAGACTGTATGGTCGATTTTGACGAGTCATGAAGCCGAGGACATCCGCTAAATGTAATTAGTCTGAATAAAAGAGGTACTTCTTGCGTTCGTAGAAGCCATATTGGAAGACTGTAAACTAAGAAAAAAATAAAGACACAAGTTGGAAAATGTCAGAACACAAAGCTATTGCTGAGGGCAAAGACATGGATTCCAACAGATCAATGTCAGAAAGGACGAACTTCTTAAACAAAAGTAAACTCGGCGGATGGTAGCATGTAGGGGAATTCTCAGGACGATGAAGGTAATGATGCGGAAAGAAGTTAAGCGGTAAGCCAGTAGGAAGGGAGGTTAATTTCCTTAGAAGCCAACGAGTAATCTAGGGAGAAGAGAGCTCATATCGAAAAAAGTATGGAACGGGTGACGCAGATTAAAGCGACGACCCAATAGTTATGGGAGGGATGCCTAGTCATTCAAGTGACAGCTATGACTGCGGCATGCTATGGGCGACTTCTAACGGCGGCGTCCCTTCTGATGGCGAAAAGACGAGTGCCGGCTAGGAGACTGTTCCAGCATCACGACCTATTCATTTTTCGATCGACCGTAACCGTCGAAGTGGCATAGCGATTGGAGAACAGAAGGTGAAGAGACCATTGCCGGGAATTACATGGCTCAGAAACGTGGATTTACGATCAGACAGCAAGTGATGCAGATCAGATATCAGGAGGTAAGGTATGTGGCTTTAACGACAGGATGAGATCGCAAAAGCGAACAGACCAGTCTCCCTAGCATGCATGCGTCGGAATGGCCAAATTATAAGTTGACGAAAGGCCTACACCGGCTCTATCTGATGAATAAAAATTGCCGGGGTGGAGGGCACGATTAATTTGGACGTAGTTGACGACGCATCGAGAGACCAGATCATCTGCGAACACCGTCGAAAACGTCTGTGCAGAGCCCAACATTGCCCATATCAGTATTCTACCAGGAGGGGGTGATGAAATGCGACTGTAAGCAAGGCTGACAAGGGGACTACGCGGTGACAACACCTGAAGGCGTACGATATAATTTCAATACGCACGCTCGGGGTTTTTCAAGTAAACAACAACGCTGACTTTGAGAACCTGACTTGCGCATATGCAGTAATCCGAGCTGAATGGCAGATATCGAATGGGATATCTCTGGGCACGGACTCAATTTCAACTAAAATTAACAAACACAGTGACTCTCCAATCACAGACAGATTTACGCCGCTCTCTCAAGAGATATGGCACCAAGAGTGAAACTATTGTTCACCCACACAAAATCAAATGAAACCGAAAAGTCTGTGATGACTTCCCAAGAATGTGCCTCTGTGATATTGCTGGCAAAATTCTCGCTCGCGTTATTCCCTATAACATGTGTACTAACTGAGGAATTCTTACTTTTTTCCTAAGACCGGAGTTCCAAAAAACTGTCAGTTCGACTAAGTTCTGCGCTGCATGACTAAGGGACATGCATCAAATGGGAAAACGAAAAATCACACGCATAAGTTAACTGCCATTAATCAGTTTATGGACAAAAAGTAAAGTTTCTGGCTAATTTTCCAGCGTTTGTCTGAGTTGCCTGGTTTATATTTTAACTGGTAAAACGGCTAAACAAACGCAGCGTTGAGTTAAGAGCTAAGTACCTACAGGTACTTAGGACTATAGTCCACATTCCTTACGAGGCTTAGGTACCGCGCCAGATCCAATCATCGGCAAGTTGGGTTTTGAACACAAAATCCACAACTACGAGGACAGATTATGAGCATCTTAGTCTCAAAAAAGTTCTGCTACTCCCGTCCCTACCCGTCAGCACTTGCGCGCGGCCGTGAGTAAGGTTGTGTAAAAGTTTTATAGCCCACTAACTTTTCCGCCATAAACCAAGATTATTAAAATTATATTGGGACTTTCCTGCTCACTTCTTCGAAACCCCATCTAGGTCTTACTATCTAGACTTTGTTAAAAGTTGACCAAATGTACATATTCGTGAATCTATGCCTGTGTGGGATAGATTCAAGTTTGCCGCACACCGTCGAGAATTACACAGAGATTTGGCGGTGAATAAGGAAGATAAAATAATGCAGCAAAATGGTAAAATGTTATCACAAAAATATTAAAGTAAAAAATGAAAACAAAACACTTGTAAGCGTGAAATACGAAATAACCAGGAGACATATCGCAAAAGAAGCTTTTCTGATGCACACCAAGTTTGATTTCGTTCAATCGCGTTTGTGTTCTATTGGTGGAACCACATAAAACATCAAAGATACATTCTAGCAACAAGAATGTTTTGTTGATGTAGGGAAATAGGCGTAGGAATTTGAGATAGTACAGACGGACAAATGCTGCGTGCGTTAAAAAAATTCGAAGCGAAAAGAAAGCAAACAGGATTATTAGAATGGTCATCGTGGATACACTGGACGAAGTGATAGAAAAGTATCTGAATGGACATGAAGGTTACGCGGCGGATGAAGAAACCTGATGTACAATATTGCATCAAATTATATGTGAAAATAGCGCCTAGTGTAGCGTAGAACTTTTCGTTTCGAATTAGAAGTAACATCGAAATGTCACTCAAACAACAGGCGAGGAGTGGAGGCCGATTGGCAACTGTGGCAAAGGGCCATAGGACTGGAACTAGTTTGTTTAGAGCGTTGAGAGTGCGACTGTCGCGACTGTTAGGAAAAGGGTACCGGATATTCTGTCCAACACGCGCTAAAAGGCAGACTGTCATCCTGTGGTGTGCGACAGTATACGACAGCTGTTTACTTCGCTCGGACTTCGGAACTGGCAGAAAATGCTGGACCTTTAAGAGGTCAATTTAATGACCATGAGCTGGAAAGACTTAATTGAATGGATTGAAGACAATCATCTTGAGGACCGAGAATGGGATCAATGCAAGCATGTGTGGACAATAATGGCCATCCAAACTATGCAAAACACTACCACCTATATGCATATCTTCAGGATTTTTTTCACTGCCAACAAGATCTGTACGGCATATTTTTTGACAGCGTATGTACACTGACGTTTAATACTATTATTATTATTATTATCATGCGATAACTCTTAACTGTTGACCTTACCGATATTAATAGTTTTCGCAAAGTTAAACTCTCTCTACCAGTGTCAGAAGTCTTTGCGGCCTTTCCAGACAGCTGCCCACAGCGTTGCACTCCCCACTAGTTGTTCAGCTGGCATGACGGTGTCCTTTCCCATCCGGACGGTGTACCCTTTTGATGTAACTCATCCTTTATTCAGATATTAACTGTTTCTGTGTGCATTAGATTCACTTCTGTTACTAATATCCATTTATATCTGCCTAAACGTATTTCTGTCATGTTAGTTTGGACAAGTGCGATGAAATTTCTAATAACTCCCTTCAGACTATTCTGCTCGAGGAGTCCCCCGTTTAACATTGCCCCATATTTGTCTTCTTAAAAATCCTCTATCCTTACACAAACATTTTTTTGCAAATTCACCAAGTTTCTACGTACTCCTTGGTCATCTACAGCGCCCATCGATGGAAGGGAGATTTGTGACCCGGGCTCTCCCTCTGCATATGATTCCGGCCTGTGGCAGACTGTAACAACTCTTTCGGAGTCGTGGTTAAGTGTCTTGTTTATTTTCAGCACATAGATTCGCCCAACCCAAACAAGCTTGTAAATCTAGTGCAAAAGTAGACCGGAGAATCGATAACAGGGTGTAAGCACTGTGCGAAAATTTTAGCTTACAAAGCAAAGACTTTGATAATATGCATACAGTGTATTGATTCACATCTGGCGGAATGCGCTAATGTGCTCGGAACAGCTGCCACAGTAATCCAGATTGGAATTTATGTAACTGCGTACCAGTGAAGATGGCCGGTTTCTTTTCCTTTACGAAATTGCCCATCCCTCCCTTGTCGCTTATCGTTTTTGCTCCTCTCGTCAGCACCTCTCCATGACACGTCTCTGTCGCTGCTGACGCTGTCGCTCCATCGCATGTACAATAAGTGTATATTAGAACAAAAGGGAAAGGGTACGGAGGTTCGTTCCACCGTTACATACCCCTTTTAAGGTTCAGCCCTATCCTCGATGCTGCTGTTTCCCATGATGGATGAAGGGTGCAGCCGACTGCCGTCGTTGAAAATTGATCGGCCGGGATGATGGGTAGTGAGTCGAGCGTGGAAACTGGAAGTTCCCAACTGTAAGACTTGAAATTGGTTGATTATGCCTAAACGATTGTGCTAGAGGTTGGGTGACGCCTCATAGAAAGTCTGGCGGGAAGAGGAGTGGATATTTCCAGTAGCAATAAAATATGGTGGATTTCCCGCATGTGAGGGCTGGGCTACGATGCATGTCTGTCCGTCGACTTGATGGACGACTCCTAGGCGAGTATCGATCAAATTGCCTCTTAATTTATAGACGCTTCCCCAGTTGTGTGTATAATAAGAGGCAATGCGGATGGTTTCGCGAGACAGCATAACACAGATGAAAATGGGATTATGTTCGGCAGTGTGCAGTGATTAAGTAAGACCAGCTTAGAATCGTAATTTGTATATAGCCTAAAGGCGATCGGAAGGAATGTTGTGGAAGCACGCACGGCATCTCTGTATGTCACGAGGAAGGGCAAGTGCGCATCCTAGTCCTGTTCATGGTCATCCATGTTGACTTCGAACGGCACAACATCAGCGCTGCAGTTGGTTCGGTCCATGAGCTTGTTGCAATCTAATGATTTGTTGCTGTATGAGTTTTACACATTTCTAGACCACAACTTTTCGGAATATATACTAAACGCGGTTTCTGCCGCAGCCGGAATGAGAAAAAAAAGCGCTTGGGTGGACGAGCGACGTACGATTTATCACAATATTAGAACAGCTGAACGCGTTCGTTAAACCAAAGCGGAAAGCACAACATCCCAGGATGGAAGGACAAGCATAAAATAATGTTTTACTCTATTTTCGGGATGTCGACAACCAAGAGAACTGGATAAACAAATGTAGGTAAATTGGTTATTAGTCTATCAGCTTGCGAAAGGATATCCGTATTATTGGATAATCTTAAGCCCCTGTCATTTTTTATTCAGTAAAGTTCAGTTTATTGAAAGAAATAGGCGCAA